CAGTTTTATTAAATCTCCCCCATGTGATATTATATTGTTCCCAATATCAGGGATGCTGAAATGCACAATACAGGTCTAAGGGTGCTAACAATGGTATTTTTGGTAAATAATGGTTACAACCGCTTTATTTGTAGCTGTTTGCATCCCGTTGTGAAGATTTTCCTTCACTTCCTGAAGCAAAGTCTCCCCAAAGTAAGTGAAATTTTCCTCTTGGTCAGTTGTCACTGAACAGCTATCCCCAGTGGAAGGTTTCCCCTCACCTCTTTGATGGGAAATCCAAAATATCACCAGAACACTTTCTGTCCCTGTGATAATGGCCACCAGGACCAGGTCACAAAGCTTCTCTCTCTAGATTTAGGCTCATGCAAATTTTAGTGTCAGGAATCTTCTGATTCCTGCTGTGGCTGTGAGTGGCTAGGTGAGACCGCCAGCCCCATTCACTATAATGACAGGTCACTAGCGGCCACAGGTATTTGCAACTGTCCACACAGAAAGCGATTACCTGCGGCGACTGCTGCTGGATGAAACAAAGTGCATCCAGCAATGACCACCACAGGCAATCAATGGCTGTGCAGAGAACCGTGAACACCAGCGGCTGCCGGTGGCCTGTTATAGTGAATGGGGCTGTAGTCCGCACCTAGTCGCTCACAGCTGCTGCAGGAATCAAAAAATTCCTGACGCTACAATTCACACCGGTCTAAATCACCAGTGTGAATGTAGTCTAAGCCTTACGTCTTTGGATTTTTCTTCTGCTTATAAGCTCATGATCGATTCAGTGACAATGAACTTATAACAGAAGGGTCTCACTAGCTCTGCTGATTAAATGAACAGCTTTTGTCAGTGGCTGTTAAGTCATTAAAAATGTGCCCCCCCCCCCCCCAGCTCACAGTCGCTACCACCAATAGCCACTATGCACTGCGCTACCCCTGTGATAGATCCTCCATCTGTGTGCTGCCAATCAGATCCCCTCCTGTGTGCCCCTCCACTGCTCCTCCCCTACATCCCTGTAACACTGATCTCCATGAGGCTCTCTATCTACCCCTCTGCAGACTGATCTCATTACTGCTCTTGCCCAGCTTCTCTCTGATCCAAATCTCTGTATCCTCCATCCCAAAGCCTCTCTCCCTCCTTTCTTTGTGTACCTGTTCTACCTTCCCCTGCCTCTCTACCCTGCAAAAAAGAAACCTGTCCCTGTCTGTACTGGTCATTCCATCTACCTTTGTGTACTTCCAATCCACCTCTTCCCCACCTTTATATTCTCCGATCGCCAGGATTTCTCCTCATCTGTACTGGCTTCTCCCTCCCTACTTCACAGCAGATTGCCAACACACAGGGGGAGAGGATCTGTTTAGGATGGAGAACAGGGAAAGGGAGGGGTCAGTAAACCATTCTCTCATATCTACTGACCCCTTCACTTTCTTGAATGAACACAAAGTGGTCAGTACTGACGACTCCAGTGTTGATTGATAACTGAAGAAATAGAAAACATTATTTATTATGTGTTTACTGTCGTTTCAGTTTTTGAATGAACAGAGAAGAGCTCTGTACTAAACATTTTCTGTTTATTAGTAAGTGCAGGGCTGCAGGGTAGAATGAGATTGAGGACTATGTGTCCCTGAAACTCAAAAGTGAAAAATCAGGGGCATCGATTTAGACCAATGATATTTCCACAGAGCGCCCTGGGGGCTGTTATGTTAAAAAAAAAAAATCCCTTATGAGAAAGAAAAAAAAGAAACAGAAACAACCCTCCCCCAACACCCACATATAATTATTATTATTATACAGTATTTATAAAGCGCCGATAGTTCGCTCAGCGCTGTACATTACAGAGGGGGGACAGAACATGTGAAAGAACAATACCAATACAATGCAAAACATGAGGGGATCGAGGGCCCTGCTCTTTCGAGCTTACAATCTAGGAGGGAGGGGATGGTGGTACAGGAGGAGATAGCTGTGGGGGATGGAGTGGTAGGAAGAGTGGAGGAGGTCGGCAAGTTAGCAGGGGGTGGGGTAGGCTTCCCTGAAGAGATGGGTTTTCAGGGTGCGCCTAAAGGAGAGGAAAGTAGGTGATAAGCTGATGGGTTGGGGCAGGGAGTTCCAGAGGATGGGTGACACCCTGGAGAAGTCCTGGAGGCGGGCATGGGAGGAGGAGACCAGGGAACTAGAGAGAAGGAGGTCTTGTGAGGAGCGGAGTGTGCGTGCTGGGCGGTACTTGGATATTAGGTCAGTGATGTAGTTCGGGACAGTATGGTGGACGGCTTTGTACATCAGCGTTAGGATTTTGAATTTGATCCGTTGTGCAATCTGAAGCCAGTGGAGGGATTGGCAGAGGGGGGTGGCGGAGATGGAGCGATTGGAAAGGTGAATGAGTCTGGCAGCCGTATTCAGGATGGACTGAAGCGGGGATAGCCAGCGGCGAGGCAGGCCAGTGAGGAGGGAGTTGCAGTAGTCGAGTCGTGATATGATGAGGGAGTGGATGAGCTGTTTAGTGGTTATAATATATGCAATACACACACTGTGGCAATTTATAGGATTGTATGATTTATATATTTATATATATTTTTTTCTCTCCTTTTTATTGGTAAACTAGATGGACTTGTGTCTTTTTTTCAAACAGACTAAGTTACATGGGCTGGAACACTGCGATGCAAAAAGAACTCATTTGCACTAATGGGTGCCAATGTAGTGAGCATAATGAGTGTGCACTTGTGGGCGTCATACATGTGGTCTGCAGTGTGCTGTTACAACACACAGTGCTTCTTTTTTTGTTTTAATTAAAAAAATAAGTGACTGTTGTGCTTTGCACAGCAATTTAAAGTACTGAGTTGTGATAAAATGTATGCCTGCATCATTTTATCACAATATACACAATCGCAGCATAGAAATGAAGCAAACCTACAGATGTTCAGTGTAAGAAGCTTATTTACAGATCTGTATACCTTTGATTTTCACCGCGAGGAGTAAAGATCCAGCAGCACCGTCGTTTTCTGGTCTATCTACCTCAAGTTAAAGGTGGAGGGCCTGAAAGTAAAAGAGTTAAGCCTCATTAAAAGAGCTGCTACCCATCAAATGGTAATTTTAAAAACTTTTCTGCATTAGTATATGTTCCCCTTGGAAGTGCTTAGCTCGTTGTTTGACAACTTCTTGCCTTTTTGCCCTAAAAATGTAGAGTTGGTTTTCAAGATTCAAGAAAGTGTGTACATCTGACCAGCAGACTCCTGTCTGTCAGATGGAAGCATTCTGGTGGCTGCATTGCCACCCGATCACTTCTACACACCCCCTGGTAATGGCGGGGACCCCTTTTTGTCCCCTATATAATGAGAAAAAAAAGTTAAATCAAAAAACTTTTTTTTTTACATTTCTAAAAAAAGTTTGAGGCCACTTCGCTCACCCCCACATATATCCACGTACGAATGTAAAAGCACGCATCGGGGGCAAGTGTCCATGAAAACGTCGGAGTGAGAGCAATACTTCTAGCACCAGACCTCCTCTGTAATGCCAGACTGATGACCTATAGGGGGCTTTTAAAGCATCGCCTATGGAAAATATAGGGTACTGAAAGTGTTACTAAACCCACAACAGTAAAATCAGTCTGTATATGCAGTAAAGCATGCTTGTTATACTCACTGTGGAACCTAAGAGGTTAATCCTCTGCATTGTGTAAAAAGGCCATTTGATCCTGTTTTCTCTGCCCCTCCTGTTGTTCAAATGTCCACCTGATAAGGCAGACTGAATTCGTAGCTACATGCACATGCTCAGTTTAGTGTGTATTGCTATTGAGATTTTTTTTTTTTTTTCTTGGGAGAGTGCATGTCATCAGCACTGTTCATACAGAGGGTCAGGGGTTTTGCATTCTCCTACAGCAGAAAGAAAACTCTTCCTACAAGCTTTAACCAGTGCTCTGCTGAAGTCACAATACTGCTGTAACTGCTGATGAGAAAATGTATTTAGCAGTTTATATTTACTAAAAAAAATTGCACTTCCATGTTCTGTGTACTGTGGGAGACCAGATATAGAGAATGCAGGGTCCTGGGGTTTAGTGACACTTTAATGGTGTTCTCATTAAAGTGATTGTAAAGCCTTTTTTTTTTTTTAAATAACAAACTCCTAGCTCCTCTTTTCTGAGTGACCCTATAGCAAGCCAGGGGTACTCAAATGGGCTTAATCCTAAACCGAGCTGCCTGAGTCCACAGACACACACAGTGCAGTTTGGCCTCACCCCTGCATCACAGAATCTGACTGACGGCTGTGGGTGCCAATGGCTCCAACTGTCTCAGCAAAGCCTGTAGAGCAGGGAGAGATTACAGAGCCACTACAGAGGGGCACAGCACTGGATTGCGGAGGACTTGGGTAAGTAAAATGGGGGATGAGGGGCTGATACTACTACCTAAACATTTTTTGCTTTAATGCAAGAAATCCTTTAAGGTAAATTATGTTTGAACCACTTTAAATTTGCAGATTCTTGCAGGTGTTCAGGAAAGCTGCCCTCCAATCCAATCCAATCCAATCCAAGCAGATTCGCTCATCATTAGCAGTGAGAAGTCAATATACCTACAAAGGCTTGAATCAGATTTTTAGTAATCCAAAGAAAGAGCAGGAAGTGGGCAATGGCACTGAGTCTGCTGAGTAGAATAATCTAACTAAGTGTCATTACCATCCCTTTAGTCAGTGTCAGAACAATGTCCTCTGGCACCCAAGCTAATCATGACTGCACCACATCTGTCCCAGCTCAAAGGGGTGGAGGTCTCTGAGTTGGGACAGATGCAGCGAAGTGTGATTCAGTCATAATGTATTTTTTAATATAAATGTAAAAATGCTTTGCCCAAAACCTACATAAATGAAGAAAAAAAAAATCAGCGTTCGTTGGAATACCTTCAATCACCTGAAAGAAGAACCCATAACATCTCCAGACCAACTGGGAGATCCTTGATAATAGGCTACTTAAAGCCGAGTTCCAACTGCAAAAACAAAAGAAAAGTCAGCAGCTACTTAAAGTGTTACTGCAAGCAAAAGGGGAAGTTTCACTTGTTTGCATCCTCCCCTCCTCCACTGCCACATTTGGAACTTTTTTTTTTTAGGGGGGGCCGGGGGTAACTGGTTTTGACAGGTACCTGCTCCCACTTTTAGTCAGATTGCAGCAGCGATCTGACAAAACGTTCGACCCCCTTGTTCCCCCCTGCAGCCTTCTGGGATACATCACAAGTCCTAGAAGACTACGGGACCATCTAAAAGCACAGCATGGCTTGTGCATGCAGAGTAGGAAACTGGCAGTGAAGCCGCAGGGCTCCACAGCCGGTTTCCCTTACCTAAGATGCTGCCACCTGGACCTAAGGCTGATTGAAGAACAGGCTCAGGTGAGGACAACGCTGGATCCCTGGACAGGTAAGTGTCCCTTTAATAAAAGTCAACAGCTACAGTATTTTTAGCTGCTGACTTTTATTTTTTTGCGGGGAGACTGAAGCTCCTCTTTAAGTTCTCAGAAGGAACTGCAGCATTTCTCCCATCTAGTCAGGTGTATGTCCAGCTTAAAAGGCATAAACCTGCCTATGCAGGTAAGGGACATCTGTAGATAAAAACAAACTGAGCAGCTTTGACTGAAGTTGAATAACACCCATGCCATAAGTGTAGGCCATCTACAGTTAGGTCCATATACAGTTGTGTTCAAAATAATAGCAGTGTGTTGAAAAAAGTGAATAAAGCTCAAAATCCTTCTAATAGCTTTTATTTCCATACACACAAATGCATTGGGAACACTACACATTCTATTCCAAATCAAAACATGAAGAAAAATATATCAAATTTGTGTTGTTCCTCTAAAAAAATGGAAGAAAAGTGAATATTAGACTGTTCAAAAAAAAAATCGCAGTGTTTGTATTCTTCTTTACAAACTCAAACATTCACTATAAAAACTGAAAAATGTTTGAAGATTTTGCTTTCCTTTGAATCACTTAATGAATATTTTGGTTGTAGTCGCACTGTTTCTGAGAACTGCTGTACATCTGTGTTGCATGGAGTCACCCAACTTCTGGCCCCTGTGATCAGGTATTCCAGCCCAGGATGATTGGACTACATTCCACAGTTCTCCTCTATTTCTTGGTTTTGCCTCAGAAACTGCATTTTTGATGTCACCCCACAAGTTTTCTATTGGATTAAGATCCGGGGATTGGGCTGGCCACTCCATAACGTCAATCTTGTTGGTCTGGAACCAAGATGTTTACTGGTGTGTTTGCGGTCGCTGTCTTGTTGGAACACCCATTTCAAGGGCATTTCCTCTTCAGCATAAGGCAGCATGACCTCTTCAAGTATTCTGATGTATTCAAACTGATCCATGATCCCTGGTATGCGATATATAGGCTCAACACCGTAGTATGAGAAACATCCCCATATCATGATGCTTGCACCACCATGCTTCACTGTCTTCACAGTGTACTGTGGCTTGAATTCAGTGTTTGGGGGTCGTCTGACAAACTGTCTCCGGCCACTAGACCCAAAAAGAACAATCTTACTTTCATCAGTCCACAAAATGTTGCGCCATTTCTCTTCAGGCCAGTCAATGTGCTCTTTGGCAAATTGTAACCTCTTCAGCACATGTCTTTTTTTTCAACAGTGGGACTTTGCGGGGGCTTCTTGCAGATAGCTTGGCTTCACATAGGCGTCTTCTAATTGTAACAGTACTCACAGGGAACTTTACACCTTCTTTCATCTTCCTGGAGCTGATTGGTGGAGTCCTTGCCATTTTGGCTATTCTACTATCCATTTGAATGGTAGTTTTTTTGCTTTCTTCCACGTCTTTCAGGTTTTGGTTGCCATTTTAAAGCATTTGCGATCATTTTAGCTGAGCAGCCTATCATTTTCTGCACTTCTTTATATGTGTTCCCCTCTCCAATCAACTTTTAATCAAGGTACGCTGTTCTTCTGAACAATGTCTGGAACAACCCATTTTCCTCAGAATTTCAGAGAGAAATGCACTGTAACCAGCATGTACAACATTTGCTGCCTTCCTTCCTTAAATAAGGGCAATAATTGCCACCTGTTTTTCAAAGAATGAATGACCTCACTAATAGAACTCCACACTGCTATTATTTTGAACATGCCCCTTTCAATGAGTGATTCAATTACACAGAATCAGCAGCATGCATGTCATGACTGTTGGGGTCTGTTGGATTTCTATTACTCTACTACACCTGCTAGTAAATTATTTGCCATGTAGAAGTATCATTTCTACCAAAAACAGTGATTGATCCGGTTAGTGATGTCTGACTGCTATTATTTTTGAACACAACTGTATATTTGAGCACAGGCACAATTTTAGTTTTTTTCAGGTATTTACCAAAACATATTCAAGCTATAGTTATATAATGGATATGGGCTGAAAATGCACACTCTCATGTTTAATTTGAGGGTATGTACATTCAAATTGGAGGAAGGGTTTAGGAATTACAGCGCTTAAGAGTAGCCAATGCCCCCTTTTTCAAGGGACCAAAAGTAATTGGATAATTTCTGTGTGATTACATGCAAAGTCTGTGAGGTGCGATTTGAGGTATACATTATGCAGAAGGTGTCCTCCCTCCCTGTAGTCTTTTGGGACACGTGACAAGTCCCAGAAGACTACAGGACCATTCATGAAGTGCAGCGCTACTCGCGCATGTGCAGTGGGTACCCGGCTGTGAAGCAGCAAGCTCTCACAGCCGGGTGCCCACACTGAAGGTGCCGGCCTCCTGGAATCCAGGATGGCCGGTGAAACGGGCTGCGGGGGACACACCACTGGACCGAGGGACAGGTAAGTGGCTGTTTTTTAAAAGTCAGCAGGTACAGTTTTTGTAGCTGCTGATTTTTAATTTTTGACAGGGTGAGTGGAACTCCGCTTTAATGGTGTGACACAGATGTAACACATATACAGTTTTCTGGTAAAGGTGAACTAACCCTTTAGCCTTTTCCCTGGCAGAGCCATTTTGGCGTTTTTTTTGTACATGTTTGAAAAATCATTCTAGGACTGAAGATTGCATAAACCCTCAAAACATTATAAATTTTTTGAAAGCAGATTACCCTAGAGAATAAAATAGTGGTACTTGCAATTTTTTTTTATGTCACACAATATTAAAGCAAAGGTATAAAATATGATGTATCCAGTAAAAAGAAACCCAACATGTGAAACCTTAAATGTGCGTGCACTCGTGAAATGGCAATAAACTTCAGTACCCTATATTTTCCATAAGCGATGCTTTAACCTCCCTAGCGGTCTGACTATATCCATATTTCTGTGCTCAAATCAGTAAATTGTTTTGCATGGAAATATGTATTTTTTTTATTGTAGGCCTGTAATATTTAGGAATAACTCACTGAAATCTGTCCGAACAAGAGTCTAGTAAACATCCCGGGTATGTTACAATTTGAAACACAAAATCATAAATTATAATTTAATAAATAATCATGAAAAATAATAATTAATAATAATACATTTAATTCAATAATATAATCAAACCAAAAACACTGAAATTTGAAATATAGCGCCAAGTTCGCACATCACTGAGCAAAGTCGCAAAATCGTTTTCAGTGTCTGATGACGAATTTCCCCACGAATCATTATCACTCAATTCTGCAAGTGGTTCTGATTTACTATCGCTGTTCTCTAGCTCAATGGTTCTCAACCTTTCTAATGCCGCGACCCCTTAATACAGTTCCTCATGTTGTGGTGACCCCCAACCATAAAATTATTTTCGTTGCTACTTCATAACTGTAATTTTGCAGTGGGAGGACTAGCGCCCCATCACTGATGTCAGTGGGAGGAATAGTGTCCCATCATTGGTGTCAGTGGGAGGAATAGTGTCCCATCATTGGTGTCAGTGGGAGGAATAGTGTTCCCATCATTGGTGTCAGTGGGAGGAATAGTGTTCCATCATTGGTGTCAGTGGGAGGAATAGTGCCCAATCATTGGCGTCAGTGGGAGGAATAGTGTCCCATCATTGGTGTCAGTGGGAGGAATAGTGCCCCATCATTGGCGTCAGTGGGAGGAATAGTGTCCCATCATTGGTATCAGTGGAGGAATAGTGTCCCATCATTGGTGTCAGTGGGAGGAATAGTGTCCCATCATTGGTGTCAGTGGGAGAAATAGTGCCCCATCATTGGTATCAGTGGGAGAAATGGTGCCCCATCATTGGTATCAGTGGGAGGAATAGTGCCCCATCATTGGTGTCAGTGGGAGGAATAGTGCCCCATCATTGGTGTCAGTGGGAGGAATAGTGCCCCATCATTGGTGTCAGTGGGAGGAATAGTGCCCCATCATTGGTGTCAGTGGGAGGAATAGTGCCCCATCATTGGTGTCAGTGGGAGGAATAGTGCCCCATTGTGGGTGTCAGTGGGAGGAATAGTGCCCCATTGTGGGTGTCAGTGGGAGGAATAGTGCCCCATCGTTGGTGTCAGTGGGGGGAGGAATAGTGCCCCATCGTTGGTGTCAGTGGGGGAGGAATAGTGCCCCATCGTTGGTGTCAGTGGGGGGAGGAATAGTGCCCCATCGTTGGTGTCAGTGGGGGGAGGAATAGTGCCCCATCGTTGGTGTCAGTGGGGGGAGGAATAGTGCCCCATCGTTGGTGTCAGTGGGGGGAGGAATAGTGCCCCATCGTTGGTATTAGCGACACAAATGATGGGGCACTATCCCTCCCACTGACACCAATGATACTTACCTTGCTGACTCCTGCTCCAGCCTGGGCTCGCTCTCTCCCTCTCCCATCTACAGCCTGCATACCTGGCTGCAGCAGCAGCAAAATTTGCACTTACCTGTCAGCTGTCTTCCTTCTCTGGCCTCTCTCTTCACTCGTTCCTGCAGCTCCCTCGATCTTCTTCGATCTCCGCGCGCTGCAGCTCGGCTCCTCCTCTCCAAGCTCCACCTTCTCGCCGGTGATTGGCCGCCTGTGTGCCTCTCCTGAGCTACAGTTCCGGTGGCCAATCAGCGGCGAGGAGGCGGTGACAGGGGCAGCATATCATCCCGCCCACACATCGCCGGAGACAGGAGCGACGTCTCGGTTCCTAAGACCATCGGAAATATGTGTTTTCCGATGGTCTTAGGCGACCCCTGGGAAATGGTCATTCGACCCCCCAAAGGGGTCGCGACCCCCAGGTTGAGAACTGCTGCTCTAGCTGGTCTAAAACTGCTTTTGACCTAAAGGAACATTTTTTGGACGCCATGGACATTTCTCAGTTTCAAGGCAGAAAGAACAGTAAAAATGCAGGCAGGGCACAGGACAAAGCACTCGGGACAAAATATATGTGACATGGTTAGATACAGTAATGTAAAACTATGTGATTTTAGTGAATGTCACTTTTTGTCATTTTCAAATTTCCCACCACTCCGTCCCCCGTACGTCCCAACACTTGCGGGACAGAATCCAGATGACAAATGCCGGCATCCGCCGGAGGATATTGCCGGGGACACTGCAAGGGGGACATCACAGGAGCAAAGGATAAGGTAAGTGAAGAACAGATCCCAGAGCAGTGCCGCATGGTAAGCCGAGTGTAGCTCGGGGTTACCGCTTGTGGTACTGAAACTTTACCCCCGAGCTACACTCTGGAATACCGCCAGGGAGGCTACAAGCGCCTTATAGGTCATCAGTTTGGTGTTACGGAGGACGCGCTATAAATATTGCTCTCACTCTGACAATTTCATGTAAAGGCCCCCCCTTGATGCGTGCATTTACGTTCATAACGTGCATATATTTGGGGGTTCGGCGGCCTCAAAAACATTTTTTAGAAGGGATTTTATGTGTTTGGGTGTAACTTTAATTTTTTACAATTTAAAAAAAAAATCTTTTTATCACATAGGGGACAAAAAGTCTGCTGTCAGGTTCTGTTTAATGAGACATCCTGGGTCTAAAAGACCAGGCAAGTGGAGCCCGGGATACATGGCGGGGGAGCGCTGTTACCAGGGGTGTGTGGAAGCAATCGAGTGGCAGCGCAGTGACCACATTGCTTCCATCTGACAGGCAGCGGTCTGTCTGTCAGAATTACACACAATCCCAGAGACTGTAGCCACCAGGAGCGTGTGTAAAACCCCCATTGTCAAGACAATACAACGTACGGACCTGGCAGCAAAAGGATTAAGGAACGCAAAGCTTTAGGCCCATTTTACACAAGCAGACCAATCAGGTCTGCCTGTTCTTTTTTCAAGTGGACCCAAATCGGACACTCCATTGTTCTCTATGGAACAGCGGGTATAAACAGACATTTGTCCGTTTACACCCGCCTGTATCTGAACCGATCCTGTCCACTAAAAATCCATCTGGCAGATTGGATGACAGTAAGGTGGAAACAGACAGGCGGTCTGTTTCCATCGGACAGCCCATAGAGGACAGCGGCTTATGTGATCTGCATAAGTGGAGTGGACACAGACCTGTCATCTGCTTGCTTAGAGGGGATCATTGGGCAGATCCCCAGCTGAGCAAGCAGATCTGCTGACGGGTCCCACCCATGTGAAAGGGGATCCAAAGACAAACAAACGAAACCAGCGCTCAGATCTTCATGCAGACTTAAAGGGATTCAAAATGGCAAATGTAGAGGTGCTGCCCTTCACAGATCAGGAAATCTGGATGCTAATGAACAAAGAACAAAAAAGGGCGCACTCTCATCGTGCATTACCGTGGTACACACCATGTTTATTGTGTAATCAAATAGATGTATACTCACAAACCAAAGGATAATATAAGCAGTGTGAATGGTCCACAATGGCAGTCAATGCAATGCTGTGCCCCAACTGGGGATAAGTTGACGCGTTTCGGGAGACGAACCCCCTTCCTCAGAGTATACATCATGTGAGTATACATCTATTTGATTACACAATAAACACGGTGTGTACCACGGTAATGCACGATGAGAGTGTGCCCTTTATTGTTCTTTGTCCATGTGAAAGGGGCCTTAAATTTGATGTATGAAGGAAAAATTAAGCAAAATCAGAAAAAAAGCAGAAAGGAAGGGGTTAATTAAAACTAACTATGGTTACCTATAGATCAATAAAGGGTTAATATTTTATGTAAAAAAAAAAAAAGAATCTCTTGATGTAAACAGCAGGAGCCCTCCAGGGCTGACATTGTGTACATTGTGTGGTGGAGGTGATCTCTGCTGCTGGCTGGGATAGGTACACCCCTGAAAACACCCCTGTGAGAAGGCTCTGATGGAAGCTCCCAATACCTGCATACCCTGCACTCTTTTCCCAGGACTCAGCTCCACTGCCTGGAGAGAGGTGGCACTATAGGACAGAAACGTTGCAGCTTCCATCATATTTTTTTAACACAAGTACTGTGCTTTATGGCTGAACTCCCAATACAAAGGATATAACGAGAAAACAAGAGAGCTGCCATTGCTGAGACCCTGAAAATGCCTGAGCCTGTAGGCCGGAGCCATTCCAGAAATGAGAAAAGTCAGAGCGGCTGATTTGCACCCTAGTTCCCGGTCTGGGATTTTGGAAAAAATGAAGATGCTGATTCTGCCGAAACCGCCATGTTCAGGAGAGGTCAGCCATGACAGCCTTCTATACACACTGCTGTCCAAACACTGAACTCCAGCCTGAGATTCAATACAAACACAACTTGTGTATTTCTTACACCATAAATGTACTATTTGTATATACGGATCAGAAACAATTGAGTACTGTCCGTGATACTTTTTTTATTTGCACTAACATACAATTTTGAGGACAAGCTTTTGGGGTATGTCCCTTTCTTCAAAGTCCAAACAGTACTATTACAAATCACAAAAGTTTAAGCAGAATGTTAGAAGGGACTGAGAAAA